CCAAAGGAGTTGTAACCATCATTTATGCAGATGACATCTTATTTCAAGGAAACTCTGTAAAAAAATTTGCAGATTGCATTAAATAATTTTAGTGTTCTTTCTCAAAAAATGGGCTTAGTTATCAATGAAGAAAAAACCAAGTGTGAATGTAAAGGAAGAAGAACTGAATCCGTTTTTCTAAATGGAAAAATTGTTGAGAAAGTGTCAAAGTATAAATATTTAGGAATGTATATTGGCTTTACTAGTGAAAGTAAAGAGGCAGAAATATATCATGTCCTCACTCAATGTAGAGCAAGATTACAGCGCCAGAAGGCTCTAGCATGTTGTGGTCAAGGTGCTGGGGTACCCATACTGAAAGGGAATGATTGTATTTCTATCCAGATCCACTTATAGACATGCAGCACCTGTCTCTCTTGTACTACTAGTGAAGGAAGGCTACGGAAGCTTGAGATCATGCAAAAAGAAGCAATGAGAATTATTTTAGGGTGTCAAAAGAATGCAATGATTGAGATAATGAAAATGGAACTAGGGTTACAGAGCATTTCACAGAGGGTCAATGAAATTAATACAGTTGCAGCAGTTCGATTAATGAGAGGGAACAGTGGGGGTAAATTTGTACAAGATATAAATGATGGTTTAAAAGATAAAAGGACCTTCTGCAGGCAAGGCAAGAGAGGATACATGAATGGATTAGTAAATATTATTAAAAAATGTAATCTGGCAGACTGGTGTACAGCTGTTCAGAAGAGTTGTAAGAATCCACCCTGGGAAGAACGAGAAGTAGAGTTAGACATAGTGCCTCTCACAATGAAGAAATCATTACATGAACCAGGACAGTTAAAGGGCTTTATATGGGAATAAGATTAGTAATTTGCCTAAAATAAACACATTGCATGTTTTTTGTGACGGTTCAGTTATGTCAAGTGGCAGGGCAGGGTGCGGGATCCTTATAAGACAGCACACAGAACAAGGAAATGATGACATCAAAATTGGACTTTGGTTGAGAAGTTTTATTTCATCAACACAAGCTGAGTTATATGCAATGTTAGTAGGATTGGAAAATGTTGTAAAGAGGTATAAAGATGCATATTTTGTTGTTGATAGTAGGGCAGCTTTGGATTCTTTGAACAGTGGGAGTCCAGTCTTTGGACACATTATTGGTTCATGTAGAAAATTAGTAAATACAATACGGAAAAATGGCCATAATGTTCAATTTGTATGGGTCCCTTCACATGTGGGGATTGGTCTTAATGTTGTCAAATTATGTATTTTTGAATGCAGACATTAGTGATTGCGCTGTGTACCGACAACATTTTCATTTGTAATTCCCTTTAAAATGGCCGGCAAGCGTAAGATTGAGAGTTTCGTGGTGCCGAGAAGAAAATGAGACGCCCATCTATGTACAGTATTATTTTCCCATTTTCGACTTGCGACCCGGTCGCCAGTCCCTGACCCCGTCGTAAGTCGGGGACCGACTGTACCGTAATGTGCTGGGTATATACGGTATAGCTCTACTGTATATCATTATCTACAAGAGTTAAGTCGGACTCGCGAACGAGCCTCGGGAGCTCGACTCGTCTGTCGGTCGAAGAGCTCCTATACGGTATTGGCTTATAATCGACGAGTACGGTCACCCCAAAATAATATCTTTAGCCACGGGGTCGACGTGCTTCGAGGCTATTCGACCAATGTTACACGACCCGTTTCAGAACTGTTGCTAACTCTACGTCTACACCTCTGAGCACGAATGAGTATACGTATGTTTTTGAGAGATGCGAATCCTCCGAGGCTTCCGATCGCACGTCAAGCGAATTGAGATTGCGTGTCGTAAATGGACGCCGACGCCGTGCCGGTCATTAATGGGATCTCACGTCAAACGAACCGAGGAATTATCGGAAAGACGCAACGGGGCGAGCGAACCCGCGGTATCGCGATGGATCAGCCGCCACGAAAAGACCGGCGACGCGCCGATTTAAATTCTTATTGTGACGTTAAACCGACACTATTTACGAATCAATAATATTTGGCAGATCCCAATTAGACCGATATACTGTATATTGCTGTAGCTGTTCACTCTAATATCAACTACTATTTCCTTGGTCACCTCTCATAAATCATACGTGTCGTCGACGACTATATTCTGCAGCTCGGTACGAATGAAACCGTCACTACGACACGGTGAAATGTTCGCCTCGAGTCTCCGTCTCGGTTGTGATCAGCTCTTCCATTTTCAAGTATAATTTTCCATGATATTGTGTAATCCTCAGTCAAGGGGCTACGCACATATACCTTGCTGCCCAACCGCGATACATACATTAATATAGCTTGTGATTTCTTATTTACTCGTAAAGCATATATATATACTTGATTCCTTGTATGCGAGGATGACTCCCTCTCTAAGCTACCACGCCGTCTATGGCTGTTGCTCCTTAGTGACTGGATGTCTTACTGTACCAATTTATGCTGATGCATGATCCCGCATGAAGTCTTTCACCCAGCGTTTCAAATTTTACGTGAAATCTATAAATACTTTTGGAACTTCTACATAATTGGGGGAACCTTTTCGTGAAGAAAGGATATCTTGGCTTTTATAATGTGAGTCTATAGGAATATTGATTCGATTTACCATAGGTTTTTATAAGACACAGTACTCTTTCAAACTGGGGAATGCCTGTACAACTTTCCTAACATTCAAAGTACCACAACAATATTAAATACAATACCACAGACTACTTGAGGTCCAGTTAGCTTCAGGTCCAGCCAACTTCATTCTAGTTCACATCAGGTCCACTTTAGGCAGTGATGGAGAAAGTACCTGAAAATATTACTTAAGATAAAGTACTGCACTGTTGATATGCAAACATTTAAACTATGTACTAAGTACTGTAGTCTTCTTCAAAACTATGCAAATAAAAGTTTCATAAACTGAATTGAAACATACAGGCAGAAAAAGTAGTACAGCATTTGTAAAGAATCATAATTAATAAACAATGACATTCTGTTTTGAAAACGAAGCTAAAAGTTATTAATATACTGCACTGTACTTTAAAGAATAACGAAATAAACACACATTCAAAATTTGGTTTGGGATGAAAAACGTGAATCTGGGCCACAATTTTGAGAGGTCCCGTACCACCGACACCAATGGGAAGTGACTTTAGACACAATCATTTACATAAATGTCCACTTTTATAGGATTACTGTACAAGTGCACTTAAATACAAGTCCTCTAATACGCTCGGCTCGTACGCCCGACGACACGACGCGAAGTGACGACGTCGGTCTTACCTCCGGCGGGTCGGCGGCGGCGTTTCTCCGTTTGCCGTTAACGGCGTCGTGTGCGAGACCGGACGGGTCTGTACGGTCGAGTCTCCACTTGTCGTACCGAGATGTGTTGTTGGTCCTTAAAGCTTCCTGGAAATGTAACAGATACCTATATAATACACAACACTGTAAAACTATTATATTATAGGCAGGGATTATTTGACCAGTACTCGGCACAATAACCGCCGGTTATTTGACAAAGATCTAAAATAAAACTAAATCCTTTTGTCAACAGAAATTATACAATTAAATAATACCAAAATGGAATGACTTGTTTAATGCCCCCAACCATCCCGACTACAATCCCACACGATCCCCGCAGGTCCCGGTCAAATAGCCGACGGTCATTTGGCCCAGAATCCGGGTCAAATAACAACTTTGTATTAAAAATAAACATTACTCAATAGTTTAACACCACATGGAGAAACCGATTACTCAAATAGGTTACGTAAAGTTGAAATTATCTTTTTCCAACGGTTTTTATGGATATTTTGAACGATTATGACTTTTGGAAAATAGATGCACGGCCAAAACGATAATTTTACCAGTATTTATTTGGATTTTTTCTAATAAATTTATATGATCTTAATTTCCTTACACTAACAAAAACAATGAATCTTCCAAAAAAAGTTACTTTCAACATGAAGGGTTAAAAAAAAACATTGAAAACCCTACCTAACCTAATCTAATCTAAACTACCTAACTTCTTGCGATGGACGAGCAAAAATTTAATCGGCATACCCGGTTTCGTACAGTCCAATAGCGTCTACATTTCGTGGACGTGACCGACATAGAACGAAACTGCGACGTTATTGACGGATTCTTTTCGTGCTTCCGGGAGAAACGCACAATTTTGCGGGATTTATTATTTAAATCTCTCTCGCTCGAATTTCACATAATCTGCTGTGACCAAACAGAGGACAGTGCAAATCTATTGTGATATTTACGCAGGAGCTTAAACTTTTTTTTCTAGATATATTTAAGCCTCCTTCGTGACCTAAACGTTGAAGACGAGAACCGACTCACAGACAAAACATTAAAACACAAAAACAAAACATTAAAGAAATAACTTTTTCTGTTATCACTAGTTAAATACAGCTACTCCTCGACTTACGACCTACTCGACGTACGACCGCCTCGGTCGTACCAAAATTTTGTCAAATTACCTATTTTCGAGTCCTGACGTGAGTGATTGCACTGTGTACCGACAAAATTTTTGTTTGTAATTCCCTTTAAAATGGCTGGCAAGCGTAAGAGTGAGAGTTCTCGTGGTGCCGAGAAGAAGAATTGACACCCGTTTTAGATTTTCTATGTACGGTATTATTTTCGACTTGCGACCCGGTCCCTAACCCCGTCGTCAGTCGGGGACCGACTGTACCGTAATGTGCTGGGTATATACGGTATAGCTCTACTGTATATCATTATCTACAAGAGTTAAGTCGGACTCGCGAACGAGCCTCGGGAACTCGACTCGTCCGTCTGTCGAGAAGCTCCTGTATTGGCTTATAATCGACGTGTACGGTCACCCAAAAATAATATCTTTAGCCACGGGGTCGACGTGATTCGACCAATGTTACACGACCCGTTTCAGAACTGTTGCTAACTCTACGTCTACACCTCTGAGCATACGTATGTTTTTGAGAGATGCGAATCCTCCGAGGCTTCCGATCGCACGTCAAGCGAATTGAGATTGCGTGTCGTAAATGGACGCCGACGCCGTGCCGGTCATTAATGGGATCTTACGTCAAACGAACCGAGGAATTATCGGAAAGACGCAACGGGGCGAGCGAACCCGCTGTATCGCGATGGGTCAGCCGCCACGAAACGACCGGCGACGCCCCAATTTAAATTCTTATTGTGACGTTAAACCGACACTATTTACGAATCAATAATATTTGGCAGATCCCAATTAGACCGATATACTGTATATTGCTGTAGCTGTTCACTCTAATATCAACTACTATTTCCTTGGTCACCTCTCATAAATCATACGTGTCGTCGACGACTATATTCTGCAACTCGGTACGAATGAAACCGTCACTACGACACGGTGAAATGTTCGCCTCGAGGTCCGTCTCGGTTGTGATCCGAAACTCTTCCATTTAAAGTATATTTCCATGTTATTGTAATCCTCAGTCAGGGGCTTCTTTACATATGCCTTGCTTCTACCCAGCACGATACATACATTAATATAGCTTAATGGAGTTCTTGTTATAGTAAAGCATATACTGTACGGTTGTATGTCACGCGAGGATGACTCCCTCTCTCGCTACCCGCCGTCTATGGCTGTTGCTCATATAGTGACCGGATGTACCTGTACCAATTTATGCTGATGCACTGGAGATCAAATCAAAGTCTTTCACCCAGCGTTTCAAATTTTACCGCTAGAAAATCTATCAATACTTTTTGGAGACTACATAATTGGGGGGGGGGAGCTTTTTTCATTGAAGAAAAGTATCTTGGCTTTTATAATGCGAGTCTATAGGAATATTGATTCGATTTACCATAGGTTTTTATAAGACACAGTACTCTTACAAACTGGGGAATGCCTGTAGAACTTTCCTAACATTCAAAGTACCACAACAATATTAAATACAATACCACAGACTACTTGAGGTCCAGTAAATTTCATGTCCAGCCAACTTCATTCTAGTTCACATCAGGTCCACTGTAGGCAGTGTTGGAGAAAGTGCCTGAAAATATTACTTAAGATAAAGTACTGCACTGTTGATATGTAAAAATTTAAACTATGTCCTGTAGTCTTCTTCAAAACTATGCAAATAAAAGTTTACTCAACTCAACTGATTCATATAAGTAGAAAAAAGTATTTAGAGTACCACAGCATATATAGAGTATCATAATTAATAAACAATGACATTATGTTTTGAAAACGAAACTTAAAGTTATTAATATACTGTACTGTACTTTAAAGAAACACGAAATAAACACACATTCAAAATTGGGTATGGGATGGAAAACGTGAATCTGGGCCATATTTTGGAAGTGTCGCGTACCGCCGACGCCAATGGGACGCGACTTTACGCACAAACATTTACATAAATGCCCACTTTTATAGGATTACTGTACAAGTGTACTGAAATACAAGTACAGGTTGTACCTCTCCGGTCCGGCAACCACGGGACCCGACCGGTGTCGGACGCCGGAAATTTCCCGACCGTGGAAATTCGCCCTCTTCCTGGACAGATAGTGACTTCTGTTTACACTTGGAAGCACTAGCACCACTTTCTCTGCTTCGTGGTCTCTTTGAAGACATATTGAAGGGTTAAATGTCGTACAGTACCTTCTCAAATTTCGCGAGTTTTTAATTCGACGTTTTCTATTTGAACGCACAAAAAAAACCGACACATTTAAAACTTTTGACGGCGGAAACTCAAATTTCGACGGGTTTGAATGGCCCGCCGACGTTAGGACGACGTGCAAGATCGTGAAAACGGCGTTATTTCTCTTATGTACGAAAGATTCATTATTATTTATTACTGAAAGTCTTTTGGATTGAATTAATGTTAGTGTGTGCAAAATGAGCAATACAATTCATTAATAATACGCTCAATATTAAAACGCGAGGAAATGAGACGGCACCGTTTTCGTCGATTACAAAACCGGTGACTGACTGGTTCTACGTATAAAACTGAAGAAAATAAGACCCTGGTTGTAGCTGTAGAAAAATTAATATGGTTCTTTTAAGTAATGTTAATAAATGGAACAATAGAAGTAGCTAACGATAATGGTAAAGAAAAACAGAGATCGCGTATGCGAGTGCGCACGCGTGAAAACGTATCGTCATTACTTTACGTAAGAATGTGAAAGCAACACTTATTTACTGTTCATATATATTTTAATTAATGTTTCTGAATTTGTTTTTATTGAATTAATGTTTGTGTGTGCAAAATTAACAATACAATTTATTACTAATACGTGTAATATTAAAACGCGCGACGAGACGAGACGGCTGCCGGCATTGTTTTTGTTAAAGCTTACAAAACCGGTGACAGATTGGTTCTACATATAAAACTGAAGAAAATAAGACCCTGATTGTAGCTGTAGTAAAATTAATGTAAAAAAATTAATATGCTTGTTTGAAGTAATGTTATTTAATGTTAATAAATGGAACAATATAAGTAGCTAACCATCAATGGTAAAAAAAAGTGAAACTGCGCGTATGTAAGTGCGCACACGTGAAAACATGTCGTCGTTACTCTACTTAAGAATATGAAAGCAACACTTATTTACTGCTAGAATATATATTGAAGGGTTAATTGTTGTGCTCTGTATAGACAAGCACAGAGAGAGAGCTGCCGGATGTAAACAAACCTTAATTTCCCCCGGCTTTGTCGTCGTTGTTGTTTTTTTACGGGGATTAGCCCACCCGGGCATAGGTCACTGACCCACATTGGGGCCTGAGGGGCAAAAATTTAATACTCCTGTAATAATAATAATAATAATAATAATCAAGATTAAAAAAAAAAAAAAGCTGCCTATCTACCTATTGGACAAACTAAAATCGTTCCGGATCACAGAATGCCGGACTAGAGAGGTACAACCTGTACTCTAATACACTCGGCTCGTACGCCCAGTGACACGACGTGAAGTGACGACGTCGGTATTACCTCCCAGCGGCGTTTCTCCGTTTGCCGTTAACGGCGTCGTGTGCGAGACCGGACGGGTCTGTACGGTCGAGTCTCGACTTGTCGTACCGAGATGTGTTGTTGGTCCTTGAAGCTTCCTGGAAATGTGACCAATAGCTATATAATACACAACACTGTAAAACTATTATATTATAGGCAGGATTATTTGACCGGTACTCGGCACAATAACCGCCGCTTATTTGACAGAGATCTAAAATAAAACTAAATCCTTTTGTCAACAGAAATTATACAATTAAATAATACCATAATGTAATGACTTGTTTAATGCCCCCAACCATCCCGACTACAATCCTATACGATCCCCGCAGGTCCCGGTCAAATGGCCGACGGTTATTTGGCCCAGAATCGTGGTCAAATAACATCTTCGTACAGTTATAATAAAGGCACTTGTTTGTTTAGTACCACGTGGAGAAACTGATTACTCAAATAGGTTAGGTTAGGTTGATATAATCTTGTTCCAATGGTTTTTGATGTATTTTCAACTTTTATGACCTTCGGAAAATAGCTGCACGGCCAAAACGATAATTTTACCAGTTTTTACTTGGATTTTTTCTAATAAATAAATATGATCTTAATTTCCTTACATTAACAAAAACAATGAATCTTCCAAAGTGAGTTAGACTTTCAACATGAAGGGTTAAAAAAACAACATTGAAAACCCTACCTAACCTAATCTAAACTACCTAACTTCTTGCGATGGACCAACAAAAACCGAATCGGCATACCCGGTTTCGTACGCGTCCAATAGTGTTTATATTTCGTGGACGCGACCGACGTAGAACGAAACTGCGACGATCTCGACGGATTCTTATCGTGCTGCCGGGAGAGAGGCACAATTTTGCGGGATTTATTATTTAAATCTCTCTGCTGTGACCAATCAGAGGACAGTGCAAATTTATTATGATATTTACACAGGAGCAAAAACTTTTTTTCTAGATATATTTAAGCCTCCTTAGTGACCTAAACGTTGAAGACGAGAACCGACTCACAGACAAAACATTAAAACACAAAAACAAAACATTAAAGAAATAACTTTTTCTGTTATCATTAGTTAAATACAGCTACTCCTCGACTTACGACCTACTCGACATACGACGGAGCGGCCATTTTTTTGGTCTGGTAAACACAGCTGTGAGCGCTAGCTCCCAAATTTGGGATGTTTTCGAGCCTATTACATTATCTGAAGGATATATAGACTTACCTACTTGTGTATAAGGACCCGAGGATAAGATAAGTATCGTCAAGCAACTTTGGTGTTGGGAACTTACTGTTTACCTTACGAAAATAACTGCTCGGGGTCCCATCACTCCTGGCTGGGTGTTGTGGGATGTCAACATTGCCCCACGGAAAGTGAATTTTCGCTTAAGAACTCTACATGGAAGAGTAAAGAAAAGATAGTATTGGACGAAGTTCTTGAAGACCTTGAGTTGAGTAGTGATGAGTCTAATACGAGTGATGAAGCACAAGGGAAGTTCGAAAGTGAGAAAATACAGCTACAACAAGAGGTAGTGAATAAGAAAGAAAATTCTCAAAGGATGAGGGAGACAAGCTGGCACGAGGACAGTGAAAGCAAAGAAGTGAGAGAGGAGGAGACAAAAACATCTAGGACAAAAAACGTGTGTGGGTGGTAATAATAATGGAAATAACAGAAAGGAGATAGTGGAGAATGGATCAAGAACAGAGCAAAGTATGGAATTTGAAGGACGCAGACAAGAACACACACAAGGTGAAGTTGGTCGGGTCAGGAAGAGATTAATTTTTCCACAGTCATGCCCGATGACCTTCCTTGAAAAATTAAAATGGGCAGTACAACTAGGACGGGAGCATCGCAGCTTTGAGCCTCTTTTGAAAGAAGGCACACACAAGCCTTATCTTACAGTGGGGACCATGGAGGCTGTGGAAATGTTGACAACTGTTGGGTACAAGGGATTACTGATGGTTTTGCCAGAGGAGAGCGACATACTACTTACAAAGGTTATAATCTTCAGGTACCCTGTAATACTAGATCCAGAATACTTATTGGATGACGAAAGATTTGTTTGGGTCAAGAGGCATTTAATAAGGGGCGAAGAGAGAAGCCAGGTTATTGCTCTAATGAGAGGAAAGGTTCCAGAGAAAGTGTTCATCACAGGAGCAGGGTATAGGAAGGTGGCACTATATGTGGAGGGACCAATAATGTGTCTCAAGTGTTGCAGATGGGGACATAAGGCCTGGAGCTGTCAACTGGACCCACGTTGTAGATTCTGTGGGAAGAGGCACGAATCTAGCAACTGTGAGGACAAGATCAAAGCAGGAGAGAAAGTGAAGCCTTGTTGTTGTAATTGTGGTAAAACTCACAATGCTAGTTCAATTGCATGCGAGATGAGGCCACGTATGAGAAGTGACCAACAAAGGAATTATTCAGAGAACACTGAAAAAGTACGCTGTGGTCTGACAGTGACAAGACAGCAGGAGAACACACAGACAGTGATTCCTGAGAATGCCTGGCATGAAGATTCAAGAAGGATAAGGACTGCGCTTGCGGCCGGAAGCGTTGTTGATGCCAGAAACAAACAGAGTAATAAACAAGTAGCAAGTGAGAGTAGTGGTGCAGCCCTCCAGGTTAGTGATAAAACTGTGCAAGAAATTCTGGGAGAAGAGGTGCTTAAGATGTTTCAGCTTTTGCAAAAGTTAGGTCAGAAAATAGAAGTGATAGAGAAAAGACTTGATACAGTGATAAATAAAGAAAGGGAAAACAAAACTGTGAATAATGTAGAATTAAAAGGGAAAGAGGAAAGTGAAGAGCTCAAGCTTTTGAAAAATTCAGTGCTTAAAATAAGTATTAAAGGGAAGGAGAGGAAAATAAAGGATTGTGTAGTGCAGGGAGCAACAACTGAAAGTTTTAAAAATGTGTTGGTAAAGTGTAAAGATGCTGATAAAGAAAACCTTTTGAGGAAATGGGAATCTGTGCAGGAGGATTGGGCCTTCTTAAAGAATCTGATTGGAAAGGATATAAAATGTGTAAATATTAATCCTGGATCTAGCTAGCCTTAAGATAATGTCCTGGAATGTTAATGGTCTACGAAATAGAGTGACAGATGTACATTACTTTACCCTTAAAAATAATATTGATATAATTACCCTTCAAGAGACTGGGGACAGGAAAGGCGACCTGCTTAAACTGTCTGGATATAAGGGATTTCATCTCTATTCGGGTGAAGGTATAAGAGGGGTCTCAACATACATTAAGAATTCCATACCAGCAGAACTAGTTGGAAGCCCGAGTAGAGTACAAGGAATAGAAAGTGTCTGTATAAAGTTATATTTGAAGGAAGGAGAATTGAACATAGCAAATTTGTATATTTCTGGAGGCTGTTTTGACCTCAACTTCTTACCAGATTGCATGTTTTTGGACTCAACTTTGGCTGTAAGAGATTTTAATGCTCGACATCCAAGACTCGAAACAATGGGGAGAATTAATAGTAATGGTATAAAATTTTGGCAATTTTTACAAGATCACCCAGATGCTTACTTGTTAGGAAATAAGGAAGTGACTCATATTAAAGGAGGAAGGTTAGACTATGCTTGCATGATAAGCAGTCAGGGAGTCCAGGGAGAATGTGAGATAATAAGGGAGCTAGTCAGTGACCATTTTGTTGTGTATGTTCAATTACCATTAGGGAAGAGACAGGTGAGATATAGGAGGAAGAAATTGAAACGAAACAAGGATGACACAGAAGTGTTTACCCAAAATATAGAGAAATGGTACAGAAATTATACACCAGTCTGTATGGATAGCTTTTATAATGACTTAGTTGGGGAGATAGAAAGATATTTAACTATGTCAACACAGAAAAAAATAAATGATAAGAGACATGGGGCTAGGAAACACTGCTATACCAATGACAAAATGTTGAAGGGATGGACACAAATGTTAAGGGCAGCACATAAAGATTGGGTAAAGAATGGTAGAAGAGAAGAAGATAGGGAAATCTTCATGGATATAGCCAAAATATGTGGGCAGGCTAGGAAGGAGGCAAGGGAGAAATATTGGCAAGATTTTGCACAGCACATTGGGGAGAGTAAAAATCTCAAAGAAATATGGCAGGATATTAACAAAATTAGAGGAAAAAGGAGTAATTTTATTAGCCATCCTCATCCAGAGGAAGAAGCTAATAAACTGGTTGACAAATGGGCTAAAGCTGCTAGTGTTGCCTCCCTGCCTAACAGGACAATAGAAGCATTAGATGAGTGGCAAAATGAAAGAAAAAGATTTATTTCATCAGCTCTAAATATTTGTGATGTAACATGTGTAGATATTACTCAAGATGAGTTATTAAATGCTGTTAAAAAAGGAAAATCTACAGCACCAGGCGAAGATGGTGTGACATGAAATTTTGAACTGCTTAGTTGGTATGGAAAATAGTCCATTATTAGATTTATTCAACATGAGCTATGCAGAGGGTAGATTACCAACAGAATGCAAGAAAGCGATAGTTATTCCTTTCCCTAAGGCAACTGGTGGATACAGGCCAGTGTCTTTAACATCTTGTTTTTCCAAGATGATGGAGAGAGTATTATTAAATAGGCTTGTATATATTGTGGGGAAAATCTATCTTGTAATTTATTTGTTTTTTTGGAAGGGAAATGTACTTCAGACTGTGTTATAAAATGTTTATCAAATGATGCAGACAGATGTAGAGTTTTTGTGGATTTACAAGGAGCATTTGATAAAGCTCACAGTGAAGTAGTTATGAATGAACTGGCTGCTCTAGGGGTATCAGGAAAGTTGTTACACTGGATAGGTGACTACTTGCATGGAAGGAGAATCTGTGTATGGTATCAGGGATGTTTGTCTGAGGAAAGAGCACTTGAACTAGGCACTCCCCAAGGGGGAGTATTGAGTCCAATGTTATTTAATGTGTTAATGAACAAGATAGCCTCACACAAATATCCCAAAGGAGTTGTAACCATCATTTATGCAGATGACATCTTATTTCAAGGAAACTCTGTAAAAAATTTGCAGATTGCATTAAATGATTTTAGTGTTCTTTCTCAAAAGATGGGCTTAGTTATCAATGAAGAAAAAACCAAGTGT